AATGATGTGGACGATCCATGAGGGCCTCTCGCGTAGGCTCTCAAGGATTTGCCCTTAGGTAAGTTCAATATTTTCAAAAAAACTAACATTAAATATTTGTTAAAAACGTGTTTTTTATTGTTTAAATTGATTGTAAACAATAATTTTTTGTTGTAAAAAATATTCGTTGTTTGGACTTAGAAAAATTGTTGAGCAGGGCATTCATAATGGCTAAGAGCAGGGGCCCTGCTGGTGCCCTCGTAAATTTCCATAACTTTGTAATAGGATTTCTGGAAAAATGTCACTTAATGTTTATTTCAGGTGCTTTGAAATGTAATTTAATGCAATCTGAACTAAAGTTTTTTAATAAAAAAAATTTTTTTTTGAAACTTAGATAAATTTTTGAGCAGGGCAACCGTAAGGGCAAAGAACGGGACCCCTGCTGGTGCCCTCGTGGATTTCTCCTCATGGATCTTCCACGAGGGCCCCCAACGGGGGCCTCGGAGCTGTGGGCCTCGAACGTGGCTTTTTCCACACGGGTTCATATTTAAAATTTTATTAAAATTCGTCAAAAGAATTCAATTATTTAAAAATTTGTTAATAAAATTCTTTATAAGAATTGAATTTTGAGAAACATTCAATTATTCAATAAATTATTTATTTTTGTATTAAAAATAATTAGGTATTTAAAAAAGAAATATTATTAAAAAATTCGTCTCAAGAATTCAATTATTTTCAAAAGTAATAAAATTCTTAGCAGAAATTCAATTATGGTCAAAAGCTTAAAAAAAAGTTATAGTCAAAATTTCAATTATTTTTATAAATATTAAAATTTTTCTCTAAAATTAAATTATTTTCAAAAATTTTAATAAAATTTTTGGCAATATTTCAATTATTTAAAAAAATTTTAATAAAATTCTTGACAAAATTTCAATTATTTTCAAAAACTTTTCTCAATTCAATGAAATTTTTTTTCAGAGATTCAATTATTTTTAATACATTTTTAATCTAATTTCTCGAAAAATGAAATTATTCTTAAAAATTTTATTGAAATTCGTCAAAAGAATTTTAATTACCTATTTAAAAATTTGTTGATAAAATTCTTTAAATGAGAGTTGAATTTTAAAAAACATTGAATTCTTCAATAAATTATTTTTTTTGTATTTAAATAATTGAATTGTCGTAGAATTTTCTAATAATAATTGATTGAAATATGAATTTCAGTTAAAACTTTGGATAATAATTGAGTTTTGAAAAGGTTTCAAATTATAATCTTTGAATGTTTGAATTTTTCATACTTTTAACTTAAAATTGTGTAGATTTAATTTTTTTGTAAAAGTTGAATTGAATTTTTTTGAAGTTATTTAAAGTTTTTATTTTCTAATATATATTTTATTGAAGAATTTCCGAATACCTGAATAATCGATGAAATTTCGTAAAATTGAATTGTAAACAAAAGGATTTGAAAATGTTGAAAGAAATTTTTCAGAAATTATTAATAATAATTAATTTAAAGAAGAATTTTAGTTAAAAATTGTGGAGAACAATAATTGAATTAAAATAATGAAAGTAATTTTGAATAAGTTACAGTAACAATATTCTTATAATAGATATAAAATTATGATTTTATCAGTCCAACATTTTTAATTATTATAAAACATGAAGATATCGAATGATATTGATATTTTCATGTTTTATAACAATTTTTTTTAAGATGTTTAATTTCAAAAAGGTTTGAATTAAAAATTTTGTAAAATATAAATGTAGTTTTAAAAACCTGGAAAAATTTCGTTTTTTAACCTGGAAAACCTGAAAAAGTCAGGGAATTTGAAATGAGCAAAAGCGTGGCAACCCTGTGACAAGTTGGAAAAATTTTAATTCTGTTAAATAAGAATCCTCTTGATAATTAGGTCGGTAACATGACAATTCAGTTAAATGGCAGATGTGTGAAATTACCATTCTCTTATAAAATAGGTCTGTTGAATGACAATTATGTTACAAGTGAGGTTGTCGAAATGACGATTCCCTTGAGTGTCAAGTCGATTGTACAGCTATTCTATTAAATGTCAAGTATTTTTTTCGTTTTTTTTTTATGAAGTGACGGATTTATTTTTTTACGATGCTCGTCACTCCGAATATGCTTCCTGCTCTTGATATTCCCACTTTCTGAATAAATATAATAATGTACCCTTCTTCTAAAATAATTTTAACCATAACCACAGATAACTTCTATTAGGTACTTTTGACATAGAGACTTAATAAGATTTTGACGTACTGAATTACAGAACGTAAGTGGCGTGATACATCCGTAACGCAAATTCAATTTCTCAAAAGCGTATTCCAGGCGTAATGGAGGTCAACGCGCCTAATGCCACTTCCTTATTCCTGACTATAATGTTTAAACAAGGGGTTATTGATCGTCAAATTGGCCTTTTTCATTTTTAGCGTCTATTTTATTATCAGAAGTATTTCGATTTACTGTTTTTCCATTTAACTATAACAATGTATGAACAAATTTTTTTGGGGAAAATAATTTGTCATTGTCTTTAGTTTTAAAGTTTGTAATGGAGTTTTCACTTCAAAATAAAATATTTATAATAATATTCTGATATTCACAATAATATAAATAAACAATTAAAATAAACAATATACCTAATAATAAATAATAATAAAAAAAAATTTTGAAAACAAGAAAATGTTAACAAACGTGAGATCTTAAAAATGGATTATTAAGACCAAGAAAAGTAAATAGAAATATTATTAAATAAAAAATTTTTAAATAACAATTTCAAGCCAAATTCTTTTACCCAATATAATCAGAGGGAAAGAGAGAAGAATTATTTTCAAGAATTTTGAACTAAAATTCTTCTTTAGATCGATATCTTTAATAATTTTCGAAAAAGTTTTTTGACAATTTTCAAATCAATTTGCTTACAATATACAATTTTACGAAATTTCGATTATTCGTAAATTCTTCAATTAAATAGGACATATAAGAAAATACTAACTTCAAATAATATAAAGAAATTTAATTAAACGTTTTCAAAAAAATAAATTTCAAAATTCAATTATTTCTAAAAATTTACGCTACATTGCTTTTAATACCTAATCAATTATTATCTAAAATTTTAACTGAAATTTATTTTTAAATTAATTTTTATTAGAAAATTCTACTAGAATTCAATTATTTAAATACAAAAATAAATAATTTATTGAATAATTGAATGTTTCTTAAAATTCAATTCCCGTAAAGAATTTTATCAACAAAATTTTAAATATTATTGAATTCTTTCTGCGAATTTTAATAAAATTTTTAAGAATAATTACACTTTTCGAGAAAGAAAAATTTTATTATTTTTTTTATTTTTTTTTTAAATAATTGAATTCTTTTGGAAAATTTTATTAAAATAGTAAATATTGAAAATCATAGAATTGAGGAAAATTTTTTTAAATAATTTAAATTTTGCCAAGAATTTTTATTATCAAAATTTTTGAAAATAATTTAAATTCAGTGATGAATTCAATTATTTCTAAAAATTCACGGTATAATGCTTTTAATATTCAATTATTATCTAAAATTTTAACCAAAATTCATTTTTAAATCAAATTTTCTTAGAAAATTCTACGAGAATTAAATTATAAAAAAACAAAATTAATAAATAAGTTATTGAATAATTGAATGTTTCTTAAAATTGAAACTTCCATAAAGAATTTTATTAATAAATTTGAAAATAATTGAAATTCTGCAATGAGTTTTATTATTTATGAAAATAATTGAATTCCAAAAAACAATTTTATTATTTACGAAAATAATATTGAATCCCTGTAAAATTTTATTATTTATGAATAAATTGAATGTTTGCGAAGAAATTTATAAAAAATTTGTAAATAATTGAATTTCTGTAAAATTTTTATTATTTTATGAAAACAATTAAAGGTTATTTTATTATTTGTTTTTAAATAATTGAATTATTTTGGAAAATTTTTTTAATATAGTAGATATTAGAAATCATTGAACTGTGGAAAATTTTTGAAAAATAATTCAAATTTTGCCAAGAATTTTGTTTATCAAAATTTTTGAAAATAATTGAATTTCGGATTTGAATCTAATTATTTCTAAATATAATTGAAATTTTGACGAGAATTTAAAAAAATTTTTAAATATAATTGAATCTCTGTGAATAATTTTATTACTTTTGAAAATAATTGAATTTGTGCATTAATTAGTAATTTCTCTAAAATTCTCCAATTCAATTTTTTATATATGTTAAAAATTAAATTCCTAAACTTTTTACAAAAATCCATTTAGAATTTAAATTAATTTTCTAATTCAAAGGTAGCAAATATAAAATTAAACTAACTTTTGTTTCGATTGTTTGACGGATTTTATTTTAACTCACTTTTATCTGAAAGAGAAATCCTATTGTCACTGGAAATACAAAAAAAAAGAAACTATTTAATTTTTTTTAGTTGCTGTTCTTGTTGTTATACATACAAGGCTATAAATTAATGCGAAAGAATTTTTTTTCCTTTTTAAAGAAAGAGTTTTGTGTTCTGGCTTGTTTACTTCTCGTCATTTACCTTTCTGTACTTGTGTTCTAACAAGATTATTTTGTAAGCACCGAGCAAAGTTTACCATGTGGCTTACCATTAAGACTAAAGGGAACTTTTTGTATTGTTCAAACAGTAAAGAGAAAATTAGTTTTTAAAAACTTTTTTTGCCAGGGAAAAAAAAAATTTTCTCTCTTTACCTTGACTACTTGTTTCAATGAAGATCAGGAATTAGTTTCATGGTGAGTTAATTAAAATGTTTTTTTCTTCCTTTTAAAACATCCTTTTAAAGGTTTTTCTTTGAAAATCAAATTAAACTCTGAAGATTCACTCTTTTCAGAATGAATTTTGCAAGAAAGCTTCTCGATTATTTCGTACTTTTTTTAGTATCATGTTTCTTTTTGCAGCGTAGTTTTTTTATCAATATTCTTATTTTATAATTCGAAAAAATATTTGAAATTATTTCTCACCTTGTTAGACATTGATTGGTGCCTGAGACACATATACCAGTTGTGCTGTCAATTTTTCTGTAACAAAAATAAAATTTTGTGTTAAGAATTTTTTTTTATTTTAAACAAATTTTTAATTTCTATATACTTAATACCCATATATTTATATTTGATATTTGCTATAAATTTAGATTTTGATTGGCAATTTTGAGAGATTGACCTTTAATAATAATTACATTTGCTATTTACATGTCAATTTCGGTTTAAATGATGTTAGTGCAGTTTGCCACACATTATTGATTTACAAACGCTTATAAGCTATCAACTATTATCTCTTGGAATTATAATACAGATTTTCTGAAAAGAAAAAACTTGACACTTTTTCATCAATTCTACAATATTATTATTTGATATCCTTTGATTTATCACTTAATTAAATCGAGTCCGTTACGTAAACATTGTATTTATCTCAGATTTCATATTGCGTTACGTGATTTGTTCATTAAATTGTTAATTATTAAATACTAAATTGAAAAATAAATTTAGTTGAACTAAAATAATAAAAAAACTAATTATTCTTTACATTTCTATGCATAACAATAATTATTATTATTTATTTCTATATTTTATTTATTTAAAAACAAATGTTTAAGTTAATGGTGTTAATAATTCAATACAAACAAAAAATTTTGGAACTATAATCACGAAGTCAATTTTAATGTATTTTCAAGTTCACTGACCGAAAAATCAGTAAACTGCACATCAAGCAGGTAAACTATTTTTGTTTCCCGCCCAATATCAAGTGATGATGCGTCATAGACAAACACACAGGAATATTAAATGACCGTCGAAATTGAGCAGTTTATTATCTCGTTTCTCTACAATCTTTCTAAAAATGACATTTTGTTATTAAAATTTTTTTTTAATTTAATTTTTTCTCTGCGATCTTCGATCAATATTTCAATATTAATTCAATTTTAAAATAATTTCGTTTACAATTTTCATAAGTAGATGAACTTCAAAAGATTTTGATTTGAAATTTTGTAAAATTTCAATTTTAAATGAATTTTCCAAAAGAATTCAATTATTCAAAAAAAAAAAAATTTAATAAAATTCTACGTAAACATTTCATTATTTTCATAAATAATAAAAATTCCAGAGGCATTCAATTATTTACAAATCATTTTCATAAATTATTATTCAATTATTTTCATAAATAATAACATTTTTTACAAGGATTCAACTATTTTCATAAATAATGGACTTCAATGCTGAATTTCAAATATTTTTAATACATTTTTAATGAAATTCCTCGAAAAATGTAATTATTCTCAAATGATTTTATTAAAATTTATCAAAGATATTCAATTATTTGAAAAACCTTCGCTACAATTTATTTATTAGTATTTAAGTATAATTTTCAATACATTTTTAATTAAATTTCTTTAAAGAATTAAATTATTTTAAAAAATTTTAATGAAATTCTTTGCGTAACAATTCAATTTTTTTCAAAATAATTTTAATAAAATTCTTCGCAGAAATCCAATTATGTTTAAAAATTTACAAAAATTCTCGTCAAAATTTCAATTATCTTCATAAATAATAAAATTTTTCTCTGAAATTCAATTATTTTCAAAAATTTTAATAAAATTCTTGGCAAAATTCAATTACTTTCAGGAATTATAATAAAATTTTTTGCAAAATTCAATTTTCAAGAATCTTAATAAAATTGTTTGCAAAATTCAATTATTTTCAGGGATTTTAATAAAATTCTTTGTAAAATTCAATTATTTTCAAAATTTTTTTAAAATATTCTTTGCAAAATTGAATTTTCAGGAATTTTAAAGAATTAAAAACTCTTTTCAAAATTCAATTTTCAAGAATCTTAATAAAATTTTTTGAAAATTTCAATTATTTTCAGGGATTGTAATAAAATTCTTTGCAAAATTTAATTATTTTCAGGGATTTTAATAAGATTTTTTGCAAATTTCAATTATTTTCAGAAATTTTAATAAAAACTCTTTTAAAAATTCAATTATTTTCATAAATAACAATATTTGTCACAAGAATGCAATTACTTTTAAAAATAATAAAATTCTTCGAAGAAATTCAATTATTTCCAAATTTTTTTTTTAATTATCGTGAAAATTTCAATTATTTTAATAAATAGCAAAATTCTTCTAAAAAATTCTATTATTTTTAAAAATTAAATATTGTTCAAGAATAATAAAATTCTTCTTAGGGATTCAATTATTTTTGTGAATCGTATGTTGTAAATAAATAAATAAATAATAAAACTCATTGCAGAATTTCAATTATTTTTAATACACTTTTCATAAAATTTCTCGAAAAATGAAATTATTCTTAAAAATTTTATTAAAATTTGTCAAGAGTATTCAATTATTTAAAAATTTATTGCGAGAAAACTCTTTATGAAAATTAAATTTTAAGAAACATTCAATTGTTTAATTAAAATATTTATTTTTGGAGTTAAATAATTAAATACTCGTAGAATTTTCTAATAAAATTGATTTCAAAATGAATTTCAAATTAAAATATTTGAAAATTTGAACTTTTTATACTTTTAATTAAGAATTCTGTAGAATTAATTTTTCTCAAAAAGTTTAATGGAATTTTCTTTTAATTACTTAAAGTTTTTAATTTCTAAAATATTTAATTGAAGAATGTCAGAATAATCGAAATTTCGTAAAATTAAATTGTAAACAAAAGAATTTAAAAATTCACAAAGAACTTTTTCAAAATGAAAAAAAATTGACTTAAAGGAGAATTTTAGTTGAAAATTCTAGAAATTATTTCTTAGAATAATCGTAATGATGAAAATAATTTTTGAAAAAGTTACAGTAACAAAGTATCAAATTGCAACAAATTAATTCCAATTAATTCGAATTTTATTATTGAACTGAAAAAAATTGAAAATATTCCGAACGAACTAGAACGAAACTATAAAGAATGTCAACAGATTTTTGAAACGTTTTAAAAATATTTTTATTTAAATAGATTATCGTTTTTTTCTAAATATTTCATGTACCTATATTTTTTTATACTTGAAGAATGTTTTGAATATAATTAAAAAAAATTTAATTGAGGTAATTTTTTAATATTTTATGTTTCTCCGTTTATTTAAAATTAAAATTTAATTACTTTAATACAATATTTTTAATTAAAAGTATTCTCAGATTTTTTAATGATGTTCTTTGAATTTCAAGAAAATTATAGTAATTTAATATGAAAATATTTTTAATAATATTATTACGAAATTAATTAATAATTGTTAGAAAATTTTTAATTATAATAAATTTTCGGTTTTCATATGGTAACTTTCTAAAAATTAATTAAATTAAAATTATAATTATATTAAATTAAAATTATAATAATATTAAATTATAATTATAATTAAAAAGTTTTCTTTAATAACAGTATTTTAACAAACTGATAAATAATAATAATAACAAAAAAAATAATAAAAATAAAAATATTTTATATTCTATTTTTTGATCCGGTATGTAATGAATAAGTAAATATTTAGTGTAATTTTAATAATTTAATTAAAAAAATGATTGAAATATCCTTTTTTAATAATCTAATTTTACCAGATTTTATTAGGATTTTTCGAAACTTGTTAGAGAAAACTATTTTTATTTATTTTTTTTTTGTTTGAGAGGGAGAGTGGAAGATCCATTGATATTCGTGGAGTAGCATTTTTAGTAATATTTTCTGTACAAGTCAACACCGTTTATTACTAGTTTTATTAGTCATAAAAATTCTATCTTCGTGGAATGAAAATTGAAAATCGATGAAAATACTAAAAATAGATACTACATGCATTTTTGCACCGAAATTAAATTCAAATTAAATCGCTCTTGATTTTTAAGTAATGGAAAAAAATATTATATATATTTATTTTTTAGAATCTCGTCTCGAAACATCTTGCCTCAGAGTTGTTAATATTCTGGATAAATTTTAGAAGCAAGCGAACTATGAAATTTTAACCTAAATTTCTATATTTCTTTTTTGCTTCTTAACATTGATTTTTATGTATGTTTCCGATTTGTTGGCATTTCTTATGTTATGTTTATTTTTTGATTTTACATTTTTGATTTTTGATTTTTGATTCATATTTTAAGATTATGATTGTTATGATGAAAATTTTGACCTGAAAGATAAGATTTATATTTTATAGTTGTTCTTGACCTGCATTTTGAGTTTGAGTTTTCTAACAATATTTATTGCATTACAGAGTCGTCAATAATTTACTGTTTATTATTTCTTATTCTGGGTTGTCACGATTATTTAATTTTATTTTTCCCTGACATTTCCCTGATTTCCAGACAAAATTCTCACTTTTTCCCTGACCCTAAAAAATATTACGATTCACTCTAAAAATTATTAGAAACTCAAAAAAATGTTCTATTACATTTATTTACAAATTTCATTAATTGTAAAATTATTCAAAAACATGAATAATTTCTTTTTTAAATAAATATTTAAACATTAAATAATGTTTAAATATTTATTTAATATATATAATATAAGAATAAGAATATTCTAGAACATTATTCTAGAAGAATTCAATTATTTAAATTAAAAAATAAATAATTTATTGAATAATTGAATGTTTGTTAAAATTGAATTCTCATAAAGAATTTTATCAACAAATTTTTAAATAATTCAATTATTTTGACAAATTTTAATATGAAATTTTTAAAAATAATTACATTTATCGAGGAATTTGACTAAAATATTGTATCAAAAATTAATATTAAAATCCTGCGATAAGTTTTATTATTTATGAAAATAAGTAAAACTTTTACCAAAAATTTTATTAAAATTTTTCTAAAATAATTGAATTTCAGTGAAGAATTTTATTATTTATAAAAATAATTGAATTCTTGAAAAGAACTTTGTTAAATTTTTTTTAAATAATTGAATTCATGCGACGAATTTTATAAAAATCTTTTTAAATAATTGATATTTTTCGAAAAATTTTATGAAATTTTGTATATTAAATAATTGAATTTATGTGAAAATTTTATTATTTATGAAAATAATTGAATTAT